TCTTAAAAAGGTCGTTTCTTGTTTGCATATTTTTTGTTTCAAATTGTCAGACCCCCCCCCCAACCCCCCCCCCCCCCCCCCATTTGCTCGGGATCACATTTTATGACGTATTTCTACGCCAAGCTTTTTGTTGAAGGGTTGTTCAATGTTCTGTTACATTTTCTCATTATTGAAAAAGTACGTGACACATTTCCCCATTGCCTAAGAGTTGAAAGGATCAGACGACACTCGGCAATATTGAAATGAACAGATAACATGGACGTCACGACAACAACACAATGCTAACAATTTAGCGGTCCTCAAATAAGTGTAAGATACCCCGTGAAAGCGTCCGGCTTAGACTATAAGCCGGGTAGGTAGGCGAAGGAAAGCGGTGGCTGGGGAGGTAGGTGAAGGAAAGCGGTGGCTGGGGAGGTAGGTGAAGAAAAGCGGTGGCTGGGGAGGTAGGTGAAGGAAAGCGGTGGCTGGGGAGGTAGGTGAAGAAAAGGGGTGGCAGGGGAGGTAGGTGAAGGAAAGCGGTGGCTGGGGAGGTAGGTGAAGAAAAGCGGTGGCTGGGGAGGTAGGTGAAGAAAAGCGGTGGCTGGGGAGGTAGGTGAAGGAAAGCGGTGGCTGGGGAGGTAGGTGAAGAAAAGGGGTGGCTGGGGAGGTAGGTGAAGAAAAGCGGTGGCTGGGGCTAAACTTGAAAATGCCTCCCTGCCCTGAATTTTAAAAAAAAAATAATACAAAATATATATCAAGTTTTAAAAAAATCCGTTTTATCAAAGATGAGTTTGAAAGCATTAAAAAGTGAGCAATTTTTTTGTCTTTAAAATGCATTACGCAAAGAAAGACTGCAGAAGTGCAGATGAGCACTCAGTGTAGCACTCTATGAAGCACTCTCTGTAATATACGAAGCCAAATGATTCGAATGGCCTGTTGAAACGTAAATGTGCTTCGTTATTCTTTTTTAAGACGCCTTTTAACAGCTTGCTTGGTCATTTTGTTTGTGGGGGAAATCTTGAATCTCAAATTTGACCCACTTCCCCGGGGTCCGATTGAGGTGAAACTGTGTTACACTAACCCACCTCCGATGACAATCAAAACAAAACTTCATGATCAGCGGACCACCAGTTGACCCCCCCCCCCACTTACCTTTGAGTGACTTTCTGTGGATGTCTTAGGAACGGCAAGCTACAGAGACATCGGGTTTTCACCACAGCGTTACCTTCTGCGTGGTTACCTGTTCCAGACAGCAATCAACGATGAGGAGCATATTGCTGGGGTGGATGAAGCTGCCATTGTTGTAAACACAAAGTTAGTCTTCCGGAAATGGCTTAAACTAATCTATAACGACATACCGGGTGTGGGGTGGGGGGAGACGCCCCCCACCCCCCCC